CAAGGCACGGCCACACCCCACGCGAGCCCTCCCCACCACCGGGGCGGAGGCCTGCACCTGCACACTCACACATGGCCAAATACACGCGTGTGCTCCGAAGCCGGCAGGCAGGCCCGGCCAGGGGAGCACACGGTGGGCTCTGCCTGCCACAGGGCCATGAGCTTCAGGAGAGGAGCCAGGTGGACAGGATAAGTAAGAGGGCAATCAAAGCTCTATCAGACTCACAAGGAGCGTCAGCACGCCCTGGGAAGGAATGAGGACTGGCTCGGCTCACACAATGGTGAAGACGACTCTCCATGCAGGCTGTCTGCCCAGACTATCTTGGTGGGTCCTATGGCCAGGAGGGAGGTCCAGGAGATGGGGCAGGGGACAGAGGGACAGGCCAAGAGGAAGCATCTCCAGTCCCTCTTCTCAGAAGGACAGTGGGGCTGGCTGGGCCCTCCCTCGAAGCCCTGGCCACGTGGACTTCTCCCCCACACCCTCATGGAGGCCCTGCCTCTGCTCACCAGTCTGCTGCTCATTCACGCAAGAGAAAACACAGAAGCAGGAGATTCCGCAGAAAAATAGGTCAGCTGCCTGGGGCAGGCTGAACTGGCACCCGTGGGCAGTGCCCCCGAGGGGCCAGGCTACGAACTGCTCTGCAACCCAGCACCCTCGCCCATCTTTCCTGCGACCCAGCCCTGCTGGACTTGCTGTGCTGAATAACCAAGTGTCAGAGCACTGAGGCAGGACATACCTGTTATTGGCATTCCTGGGGCTCGACCTGAGTTTGTCCCCCCACATAGGCTTTCTCTCCGGAACCTCCGGTATCCTTAAATCTAGAGCTTGGGCTGGGCCCCCAACTTTAGAAACTTCTGGGCTGCCTACACTCAGGTGCAGAGCCGGGGACAGGAAAGCGAGGCATCTGTTCTGAGTCTAGTCTCCGCCACCCACGGCTCTTGGAGAGGAGTGACTCCCTACCTCGTGCCTGTAGACTGACTGCCCTTGCCCTGCTGCGTTCCACACGTGTGCGTGCACACAAACACACACAGGTGCAAACACACATGCTCACACACATACAGACACATGCACATGCACACATGCACATAGACGTGCACACACCTCCGGACAACGTGCACCAATCATAGCTCTTCATAGCTCAGAGCAACTCCACACAAGCTGCTCACCCATTCTAGGGAAGCAGGCAGAAGAAACTCGCTCCTCTGAGCCCCAAGCCCCAGCCTGAAGAGGACACAGGATGGGGCAAGGGGGGGGAGACGTTAGTGGAGAAGTGTGGTAAATCCCAGGCCCGGCCCCCTTTGGGGTTCATCTCCCACCCTCAATCCCTGGGCAAGGCCCAGCACACCAGAGGAAAAAAGGGCCAGAGAGAAGAGAAGGCGCAGGCTAGGCTCTGAGAGCCGCACCCAGGCTCCCTGGCCGGGCAGGCAGAGGGGAGAAAGAAGACGCAGGCGCTGGAGAAGGCAGAGCCAGGAGAGAGGGAGGGCAGGAGATGCTGGGCTTTAGCATCTCCCCGGCTGGGCAGCCTCTGCTTCTTGGGTAACCGGATCCCACTTTCTATCAGAGCCATAAACATGAAACCATCCAGCTCCGGGACCTGACAACTCCAAGTCTAGCAAGTGCTGGGCCTCAGGCCAGGAGCTGAAAGCTGATTCTTCCCACAGTTTCTCCTCAGCTTCTCCCCGGGCGCATGCTGCCCGGCACAGCGCTGTGCTGGGGCCTTGTGCACGCCACCTGCCACTTGCTGAGCCAGTCCTCCCTAGCGGATGGGCTGCCCAGGAGGTCTTCCCAGCAGCCCCGGGCCTGAACGTCCTCCCTCTCATCTTCATTACCAAAGGGAGGACAGAGAGGGCACTGGTCCAGCTACCCGCAGGATCTGAGTCAGAACTCCACTTTATCTGGGGACACTGGAGTCAGGGATAATCCAGCCACAGAATCTGTGGGAGAGAGGAGGAGGGAGCCCTGGGCATCAAGGCCCAGAGACAGCTAAGCGTGGTCCAGGGTGCTCCCCAGGCTTGCTCAGCAAATGTCTGGGATGCTGAGACTCCAATCGCCACCTGCCAGACTCCAGATACGTCTCAAGTCTCTCTCTTCCCCATTCCCTCCCCAGCCTCTCCACCCACCTCCATCCACTCCAGATGCGCAACTCAAGTCAAATGGGGAGCTCATCCCTACCTGTGTCCCAACCCAACAATGCCCAAGGGGTTGCCCCCTTCCACCCCTGGGCTAGAGCAGGCTGCTTCCAGCAAACCTAAACCCAAGCATGGCATTGCAAAGCCCCTCCCCTTCAGGAATTCCTCCCCTCCTCCATCCCCGGAAGTCAACTCTGCCAGTCAGAGAGCAGCTGAGCTGTCACACAGACAGAGCCAGCATTTGAACACCGCTGGCTGTTTCTCCCGTGAGCAGGCGCCTGCCAGGCAGGCCCCCCTTCTCCCTCTCTGCAGAGGCGGAGAGGCTATGACCTCCTGCATCCTCCTCACAGACCTCTGGCCACGGACAGAATCCCAGTTTTGCAGACCTTTCAGAGGTTTTCCACGTAGCCCCGTGGCCTGCATGCCCTCCACACAGCTCCCTGGGCTGCAGAGGGGTGACAGGTTCTCCCTGGACAAGGTCAGCCCATGAAAGGGAACGTGGTTTCCGAAAGAGGCAGCCTTCTCAACTCCTCCCCTAGGCCCTCCTGGTGCCGATGCCCTGAATGCCCCCAGGGAAAGAAACCGAGGAGAAGACTGGAACCCCAGAGATAATGAAATGATGATGATGATGATGATGATGATGACATTTATTGAGCACTTACTATATAACAGGTAGTCACTCATTTCTTTATAGCATGAAGGTTCACAAGAAAACCCACTAGCTCATCTTGGGAACCCCATTTTCCACTGAGGCAAGTGACATTGAGAGAGCTTAGACAACTTGCCCAAGGTCACTAGGCCAGCAAGTGGCAGAGCCCAGGATTCGAACCCAGGTCCGTTGACTCTAGGCCTATGTCCTTAACCACTACCTTTAGAGCCTCTTTGAGCTAAAAAAACAAAAAACAAAACAAAACAAAACAAAACAAAAAACCCAAGACCAATAAGGGGTGGCAGGCAGGAGTACAGGTCAAGCCATCCCAACCAGAAGGCCCTCTCCACACCCAGAAAGAAGGCAGGACCTTCACGCCCACCAACAGGCAATCCTAGGAAGTCCTCCCTTCTGTCTAGCCATGTTGTGTGTTGCTACGCTACATACATGCCTCTTCCTTTATTCTGGGCTTAAACTTGCAGACAGTCCATCCCCTCACCCTGGCTTCTCCGCGTCAGAGGCTATTTCAGAGCTTCCCTTCACTGTCTCCTTTTTATTCAAAGATCCCAGCACATCCTTTTGTGCTTTCAGTGACAGTCCCATAGCAGGAACGTACCAAAACCGGATGAGGGGAGGATGAGGGCATTGGAAGACTACAAGGCAGCGGGGGAGAGGAGGCTGAGGATGGAGATTCCCAAGCACAACTTGACCCACCTCTCACCCACCCCCCGTTCTATAGGCTCCTGCAGTCGCCCTGGCTCAGTTTTCCCACCTGGCAAACGGAGAGTCTCAAAGCCAGCCAGGTCACTGTGCCTTTTTAACAAAATCGCCCTTCCCTGAGCTCTCCTCTGGTTCTGTTTTCAGCTCCCTCCTCCCCCCCAAACAGCACGGGAGTCATTCCTTCTAGAAACTTTCTCAAATCACTTCCCCTTTCCCCTACACTGCCCAGACAAGGTGAGGAGAGGACCCTGTAAAAGGTGCCTCCTGCCACCCCTTCTGCCCTCCCGCCGCTGGGCGCTGGCTCTCTCCTTGGCGGGTCCCCCTGCCGACTTCTGTGCCAAGGCCGGTTCCCGGCGCAGCCACTTCCTCCAGGCGAACTTGCCCGCCGCCCGCCGGTTGTGTCAGCGGCTGAGAGCCGTGAGCTCAGAGTCCTGGCACCCTCCGGGCTGCGCTCCTACTTCCATACAAGGGCCGAGAGCTGGGGGTGCCACCCAGCGGCTTGCAGGTCGCCTTGCCTGTCTCCGGAGCAAAAGCCCGCGCGTTCACGCGCGCATCGCCCAACTCGCTGGCTTCCCTCTGGTCCCTTCCCAGATCAGACAAGGGAACAGGAAGGAAAGAGGAAACCTCCCTGTGCTCCGAGACGCAGCCACGGGGGATCCCTTCCCCGCTGCCCGTGTCCCCCGCCAGCTCTGCCTCGCAGCCTGGAGGGCGGCCGGGGCGGCCCGGCTGCTACGCGCTGCGCTCCCCGGGAACTTTTACCTGGCCGGGCCCAGGTGCGGCTCAGCCAACACAGATGCCAATCGGACAGGGCTGGCCAAAGCCGGCGCTCCTTGGAGCCCGCAGAGGGACCCCCACCCCGCCCCCACCCCCACCTCCACCCCTCTTCCCCGCTCTGGGTTCTCCATGCGCCCGCCGCGCTCGGAGAAGAACCCGACCTCTGGCTGCCAAGATTTGGGGTCAGGAGGGGCGCGAGCTGGAGCGGTGGGCGCCCGCAGGGCCAGTAACCCAGAGTCCCCTTAGCCCTGGGTGCCAGGAGTCCCAAGGCTCTGGGTTGCACCTCCCTGCGAGGGCTCGCCTGGGAGCGGTGGCGCGAGTGCAGCAGCCTCCGGAACACCCGCAAACTCCCGGCACCCAGAGTTAGGGGAGCCGCCGACTCCCCGGCGCTCCCGGAGACCGCCGCTCCGGCTCCGGGCGCCGGGCACGGCACGCCGGTGTGCAGGTGCGGGGCCAGAGGTGGGCGAAGTCGACCCCCCAATCCCAAGGTGTCTTCTCCCGAGCGCCCGGCAGCCCAAGGGGACTGGGACCCCCTTGCCGCCTGGACCTCCGGCCCGCGGCGGCCCCCGCCCTCCCCGCAGTGTCCGGCGGGAGCCCGCCTGGCCGGAGCTGGAGCCTCGCCCGCGGACAGGCGCGGAGCTCGGAGGGACCGAGGAGCGGGAGATGGGGAGGAGGAAGGGGCTGAGGACAACGGGAGGGCAGAGCAGGGGCGCTGCACTTCAACTCACCTTGAGCTGCCAGACCTCGGGTGCTGATCACACTTGCTATCAAAGTGGCCACATACCAAATCATAGTACTATCGCGCGCCAGCCAGGAGCCTCATCCTATCGCAAAGTACTCCTGCGCCGCTCACTTCTCGCCCTAGCGCCTGCTCCCGCCGGCTCGACCCGCCTACGCCCCGCGCCGGTGCAGCTGCAGCCCGGGCGGCCCGCTCCCCATCCCTCCCTCCGCGGCTCCGCTCGGCTCGGCGCGCAGGCTCCCCAAGCCCCGCGCAGCGGCACCTGCACTACCAGCCCGGGCGGAGCGCTGCCAGCGCCACGGTGAAGCCTAGATGGCCGGGTCTCCGGCACCGCCCCCCGCCTCCCGCCTATTGGCCACCGCCCACAAGCCTCGAGGCAGATTGGCTCCGAGGCCTGCCCGTCACGGCTGGGGAGGCGAGCCCATTTCAAGGTGCGTTGAAGCGTAGCCAGCACAGAGCCGCAGAATCATGCGCATTGCCCGAGAGAAGGCGTTGTAGCGGCTCTGCTCTGTTCTCTCGGCTCACCACTGCAAGGCAAGTTTCTGCTAAAGGAAATGGTAGCGTTTCTGGTTTGATAAGAGAACCCTGTCTCGAATTACCCGTGACAGCTCTGAGGGGACGTCGTCCCCGCCCTCCCAGGGAACCCAACATCCGGTTTCCAACCGGCTCAAAAGCAATTCCCGGGAGGATGATGCTGATTCAGGGATGGGGAAACCCGGGAGCGGGGAGCCTGGGGAAGCTCGGGAACGTCCTTCGCTGGAGCTCTTTTCGAAGAGGTCACGCGCAACCTCCCCCTCCCCCACCCCCACCCCCTTCCACACATGGACACGCTTCCCTCGGCCACGCACCCCTCCCACCCAAACGTGATGTTAAGTTAACCCACCCAGCCTGAAGGCAGGGGAATGACTAAAATGACCTCTGCAAGTCGCTAAGATTTCAAATGAGTCACTGGTTCAGCTGCAGGAGGAGTGTCATAGAACAGCCTCTGGAACACACTGTACACACACCCTGCCACCCCCAGTGGGGGTCAGCGTTGCTCATCATTGCTAAATCTCAACTTTGAACAATCAAAAGTTTTTTTTTTCTTTCTTTCTTTCTTCTGTAAAAGGCTGCTTCCTCATGCACAAGTTCCCCCACCCCCCACCCCCCCCCCGCCCCATCCCTACCTAGCTGGGGCCTAGCCCATGTGAGCAGCTTGCAGCCAAGATGGATCTGGGGAGCGGTGTCGGGGTCTGGAACAGAGAGCTACAGAAAAAAAAAATGGGGGGGGGGGCTTCTTATTCCCACAGAAGACAGATGAACAGGGAAGGTCTTCATACTTCCCAGTCTCACTACTATAACCGCGCCTTGTCCCCTCCCCCAATACAGTTGCATTTGCAGAAGACATAAATGAGTGTCATGGAAACATCTACTACAAACAATCAGCAGCATTCTGAGACTGCAGTGAAGATGTCTGTTCTTTCTGGACTGAAAGCAGTGCTGAGAGTGGCAGAGCTCCTAGAGAGGGGTTGGTGGCCACAGAAGGAAGAGGTGGGGGGGGCGGGGAGGGGGGGCAGTGAAGGAAACCTTAGGAATTTCACCTTCTCAAAATACTTCTTGGTCACAAAGCACTGGCTCTAGGATATGAAGCTCCCAATAGAACAAGGAGATTCGCTTCTGTGAACACACACACACACACACACACACGCACACGCACACACGCACACACTACACATCAAAAGTGGCCTCAAACAACCTTCCCTAAACCTGAAGCTTCTGAGCTCACTGCCAGCCAGGAGACAGAAAGCTGGGATCCCCAGCAGAGCAGCAAATACATTGGTTGAGTTTTAGCATCTGAATGTAATCTAAAGAACCAAAACCCTTGAATAACCTGCTACTCTACCCACCCCTTCCGGTCATGCACACACACTCAAGATGCATAACTTTGAGGACATCTCTCACTGAGCAATTACTTAGGTTCTCTTTCTCTGCAAAGATGCCTCTCTTTGGGGATATAAAGTGAGTTGGAAACTCTGGGTCCCCTCTGATTGGCTAATCACCAGCTAGCATGCCCAAGAACAAATTCATCCTCAACATATACCTAGCATTATAAAGCCTACTGAGATCCATTGCCAGAGCTGGTGATGGCAGGATTCTTTTTCTTGCAAAACCTCTAGGCAGCTGACCGGCCTAGAGAGAAATGCTGGATTCTTAAGGGCTACCCCTGTCCCTGGCCCCTTTCAGATACAGACAAAGCAGAGGAGAGAGAAGCACCTATGCTCAGAGAAATGTTCCCCTAGGAACCCACAGAATAAGGAAAAGAAGAGAACCAATCTCACCATCATTTTGATTGTATTTGCTGGTCATCTGCCCTACTCAGTGTGTTGGTTTCTGCTAGGGAATTAAGACTGTCCAATTGGAGGGAGAAAAACCACATAAAGAGTTTAAGAGCATGAGTTGGATTGGGAAAGGGTGCAAAGGAACTATCTAAAAAGAAGACTAGCCTGGCTGGCGTAGCTCAATGGTTGAGCGTCAACCTACGAACCAGGAGGTCACGGTTCAATTCCTGGTCAAAGCAAATGCTCGATCCTGGGGAGGCGGGGGTGCAGGAGGCAGCTCTCTCATTATTGGTGTTTCTCTCTCTCACTCCCTCTCTGAAATCAATAAAAATATTTTTAAATAAAAAGACCGAATTTTTTCTAGATAAATCTATTGAAAATGAAATGGTAAGAAGGAGTAAAGGTGGTGAGGAAAATTAAGATACAAAGGGAAAAGTAAGCATCATCACCAGATATGTCTCAGTTTGGTTTCGTATCAGCTCAAAAGAGACACGCCGCCTCAGGTCACAGTGAGGAATGGGGCCAATTAAGTATTTCTCCCTTGACATGCGGCTAATCTCTGGACCCAGGAAGGATGGCAGTCCCTCCCTGGCATGGATACATCCATGGGAGGATTGAAAACTCGCATGGATCCCAGCTGTCCAAGAGGGACATGAGGGAAGACTGTGAACCATGCCCATGAGTAGCTCATAGGTGGAACTGATTTGACATCGAGGTCCCTGATAACCTCGGTGGATGTACATCAAGTTTAGGAGTATAGGTCATCTCTTCTCCTTTCTGGAAATTCAAAATGCTAGTCTTATCAGTTGCTCCATGAAAAACCACAGCTGGCCACCTACCCACACATCTCCCCAGGCCCTCTGAGAACAAGTGAGAAAGGTGGCTGACAGACCCTCCAGTCCAAGAGAAAAGGACAGTCTTCACTCCCCCCTCATCTCCACTGAGCAAGGAGGACTCAGAAACAATGGTTCTCGCCAAACCCGGTTTGGCTCAGTGGATAGAGCGTTGACCTGGGTACTGAAGGGTCCCAGGCTCGATTCCCGTCAAGGGCATGTACATTGGTTGTGGGCACATCCCCAGTGGGGGGGTGTGCAAGAGACAGCTGATTGATGTTTCTAACTATCCCTCTCCCTTCCTCTCTGTAAAAAATCAATAAAATATATTTATAAAAAAGGAAAAAAGAAACAATGGTTCTCTCCTGCATTGCCTGTTACCCTCCTCAGCGGTTCCAGACCTCCTTGTAGAAGTGAGGTTAGGACAGCTGTTGGCACAGCTGCGTGTGAGGAAAAGAGGCAGCTCTAAGTCAAAACAATAAACACCAAAGAGCATGCTGGGGTTTTATATAATTAGGAAACTACATCAGTTATCTTGTCATATTGTTTAAATATATTTTTTATTGATTTAGAGAGGAAGGGAAAGAGAGAGCGAGGTAGAAACATCAATGATGACAGAGAATCATCGATCAGCTACCTCCTGCACGCCTTCTACCGGGGTTCGAGCCTGCAACCCCCGGCATGTGCCCTTGGCCAGAATCGAACCCAGGACCCTTCAGTCTGCAGGCCAACACTCTATCCACGGAGACAAACCAGCTAGGGTTATCTTGTCATATTTTTTTAAAAATCACAAAATGTAGTGACTTAACACTACATCATTCATTTGCTCCCAGATCTGCAATTTGGGCAGAGCTTGGTGTGGTCAGCTCCTTTCTACTTCATGTAACATCGGACCAACAAGGTGGAAGTTGGACTTTCAAGATGGCTCACTCACATGGCGAGCAAGGTGGTGCTGGCTGCCAGCCAGGGCTGGAGGCAAAGAACCGCAGTCCACCTCCATGGAGGCTTCTCCACAGGCAGCTTGGGCTTCCTCACAGCATGGTGGCTGGGTTCCCAGAGCTGGAATCCCTTTCTGTCCTAGCCTTGGAAGCGGCAATTCATCACTTCTGCCAAAGGGAAAGCCCTGCCCCAATTCCAAGGCAGAGAACGTAGATCCCCACCTCCCGGGAGGAGCAGTCTCCCCATCCCATCGCATGAAGAGCTTGTGGGATGAGATGTTGGGCTGTCTCCATTTGGGAGTAATATAGCCAGCCATGGAAACAGGCTTCAAAATTTAAACCAAAAAAGATGAACTCTATGAGAAATACCTAGCAATTACGGGCTCACCAACAGTATCTAGATCTTAGGATTTTCTCACTTCAATTCGAGCTGCTGCCACCAGTCCGAGGCACACGAGAGGGGAGCTTGACCCTTAGACAATCCTTTGTGTAAGTAAATCCCGTTTGTGAAGCCAGTCATGGCACCTGCTTTCTCTTGACGTGCCAGAGACCAGTCAGCAGGTTTTTAAAAGAGCTCGCAAGCAGAGAAGAAAATAAACAAAGGAAATTGGATTTCCGACATATAAATATCTAATCTTAAGATCTGATACAGGAGAAGTGGAGGGAGCTTTGCCAGGTTCTCAAGCCTCCTTATCCTAAGGATCTCCCATCTGGGCTTAAAACGGGCACACATCTTTGCAGGCCCCTTGCCCGTTTCCTTCTCTCCCAGGTCCCTGCTCTTCCCAGGTGGCTCTGCTCACAGGTGGTCTTTCTGGACTGGAGCAGCTATTTTAACAGGCCACCTTGCTCGCTCCAAAAATAAATTCCTGAAGACGTTTTCTTATTAAAACTCAAACTTTATGATGATCCAAATCCCCCAGAATACCCAGTGTTCCCTTCCAGCATTGCGGTCCCCCTAAAGGCTACCTCTTCGGTTTGGTGGCAGTGACTGGCCCTGAGGCAGATCCAGTCCTTCCAGATGTCAGATACCTGTTCCAGCCACCGCAGGATCAGCCTTTACTCTTCCTTCTTGGCTTCCCAGGCCAGCTCTGAACAACATAAAAGAAGACATGGCCCTAGGCAGTTCGGCTCAGTGGATAGAGCGTCGTACTGTGGA